CTCCATCAGACACGTGCCCACGCAGAGGCCTCGATCATCTACAAATCAAAACCAAAGGAAGATGTGCAGAACCATCGCTCGGAAACTCAAACTCCAGGATGCACCGAACTCACAGGCTGATGGAAGAAACTGCCCTTACCCCGGTCGTGAGACCAAGACAAATCGTGACGTTCAAGACCTAGACTTTCATGCGCACGCTCTCCGCGACCACTTTGCGTTTGTTTTGGACAGGGACGGCGGGGTGCTGGCATGTTGCCTGCTGCGCGCAGGCCCACCAAGTCATCATGATGGCGACTGCGCAACGATTGTTCACTGGTTTTCGACAAGATGGTGAAGGCCAACATGTTTCCCGATGTGCGCGGGCGCGACTGGCACACTCTGCGCGTGCCCCGAACGCGGCGCACCTGACGCAGCTGGAGCGTGCGGCACACTTGGCGGACGTGGAGCACGCGGCACATCCGGCGCACCAGGCGTGCCTGGCACGCCTGGGCCTCCGGGGCCTGGCGCGCCCGGCACGCGTGGCGCGCCCGGCACGCGTGGCGCGCCCAGCACGCGTGGCGCACCTCGCCCCAGCGTCGCGCGCCTGGGGTCTGTGCACTGGTTCCCAGTAGCTGTCCATCCCAAGACGACGGCTGAATATGCTGAGACTCGGGCACGACTTATGTGTTGGGAGGACGGGTGGGAGTGAGCCCGCAAAAGCCCCAAGAGACCCCCAAGAGGCCCCCAAAAGTCCTGACGAGACTCCCAAATGGTACTCAAGACGCCCCAAGAGGCCATCAAGAGCCGCCAAGAGGCCCCCAAGACGCCCCAAGAGGCCGCCAAGAGGTCCCCAGGCGACATCCCACGAGACTCCGAGAGGCCTCCAAGAGAACTTTGTCCCACAGAGGCCCCCCGAGCTCTCCTAATGGCGCCACGCTCCCCCGATAAGGGCAACTCGCCTAGGCATCGTGTCTGGATGGGCTGGTGGGGGTACTTTTTTTGTTCCGCGAGCGACACGGCACAATCGCGCGCCAGTCAAAGAGCAAAGCAACAGCGCCACCATCTAATTAGGGCAAGCTGGTGGGGATACGCGAAGCGTTAAGAATAGTGCATTGGGAGCCCCCCTCCTTAATCTACATGTCTCAGGTGTTTCCCTCGTCATTGCAATCAGCAGAAATTAAGCCTTCAAAGTCTAATCACTCGGAGCGAGCAGGCCGGAAAGATGTAGGACCAAAAGGTCGCGCTTCACGATTGGTAAGACCATCGTATGGCAGTTTACTGAGCCTCCATCAGACACGTGCCCACGCAGTGGCCTCGATCAGCTACAAATCGAAACCAAAAGGGGATTTGCAGAATCATCACTCGGAAGCTCAAACGCCAGGACGCGCCGAACTCAGAGGCTCATGGAAGAAACTGCCCTTAACCCGGTCGTGAGACCAAGACAAATCGTGACGTTCAAGACCTAGACTTTCATGCGCACGCTCTCCGAAACCACTTTGCATGTGTTTTGGACAGGGACGGCGGGGTGCTGGCATGTTGCCTGCTGCGCGCAGGCCCACCAAGTCATCATGATGGCGACTCATCCACGATTGCTCATTGCTTTTCGACAAGGATGGTGGAGGCCTACATGTTTCCCGATGTGCGTGGACGCGCCTGGCACACTCTGCGCGTGCCCCGAACGCGGCGCACCTGACGCGGCTGAAGCGTGCGGCACTTTTGGCGGACGTGGAGCACGCGGCACATCCGGCGCACCAGGCGTGCCTAGCACGCCTGGGCCTCCGGGGCCTGGCGCGCCCGGTGCGCGGGGCGCGCCCGGCACGCGTGGCGCACCTCGCCCCAGCATCGCGCGCCTGGGGTCTACACTGGTTCCCAGTAGCTGTCCATCCCAAGACTCGGGCACCACTTATGTGCTGGGAGGGCGGGTGGGAGTGAGCCCGCAAGAAGCCCCCAGAGACCCCCAAGAAGGCCCCAAGAGTCCTCACGAAACTCCCAAGTGGCACTCAAGACGCCCCAAGAGGCCATCAAGAGCCGCCAATAGGCCCCCACGATGCCCCAAGAGGCCGCCAAGAGGTCCCCAGGCGACATCCCACGAGACTCCGAGAGGCCTCCAAGAGGCCTCTGTCCCACAGAGGCGCCCCGAGCTCTCCTATGACGCCACGCTCCCACGATAAGGGCAACTCCCCTAGGCATTGTGTCTGACTGGGCTGGTGGGGATACTTTTCCGGTCGCGGCCGCGAGACGAAGGTCAGGCGGCGAAAGCAAAGTCCAAGACGCGAACTAGGCGAATTGGCTAGGACAAGCGCAGGCCGGCCGGCCCACTCAGACTGCAGCTGCTGGCTGGGTGGAGCTGAACTGATTGGCGCACTGCAAGCTCGGGTTCGTGCACTGGACAAAATGACCAGAATTCAAGCGGCCAAGGCAAAACCCGCACAGAGGACGCGGACCACGGTGGGCAAGCCTTTGTGCATGGTGAAGACGAGCTGGCCATTGGAGTGAGTCGCCAATGTGGCGCCAGGCTCCAAACTGACGTCCTGCACAAGCCAAGCCGGCTGAGCAGTCGTGAGCCGTGGTGCAACGCACAGGGGGGGCGTGGTGGGGATACGCGAAGCGTGAAGAATAGTGCATTGGGAGCCCCCCTCCTTCATCTACATGTCTCAGGTGTTCTACTCGTCACTGCAATCAGCAAAGATTAAGCCTTGAAAGTTTAATCATTCGGAGCGAGCAGGCCGGAAAGATGTAGGACCAAAAGGTTGCGCATCAAGATCCAACGCATGACAAATTACTGAGCCTCCATCAGACACGTGACGATGCAATGGCCTCGATCATCTTCAAATCAGAACCAAAAGAAAATGTGCATAATCATCTCTCGGAAGCGCAAACGCTGGGATGCATCGAACTCAGAGGCTCATGGAAGAAGCTGCACTTGACTCTGTCGCGAAACCAAGGCACATTGTGCCTTATCTCTGATATTCAACGCTGGAAAACTTTCATCAGGAAACCAGCGCCCTGCATGAACACGAACAGATACGCACGCAAGCCAAACCTTCAGTAAAAACAAGCCCACAGATATCGAGCTATAGTCGCGCAAGGCAGATGGCAACCACCTCACACGGCACAAGCACGGGCCAACATAAGCTGCACATCACCGACTGCATGGTCGATGACTCATGACGCTATACCAGCCATGCCAGTTGGCAGGACAACGGCACACGTACCACACAATCGTGCGATAGTGGTTGACGCTCCTCGCATATATTTACATGTCTGAAATGTTTCATCACTAGGAGCGCCCAGGGAAATGAGCACGGAGACAAGCACGACACGCACCCCTGATGTCAAACTATCACGTAGATGCGCATGTTGAAACTAATGGAGTATATGTGCTCTGCACGCGCGCTAGCACAAATCACTGTTGCTGAGTGCGCAAGCGTGAAGCAATGCCGTGGGAGCCCCCCTCCTTCATCTACATGTCTCAGGTGCTTTACTCGTCACTGTAATCAGCAAAGAGTAAGCCTTGAAAATTTAATCATTCGGAGCGAGCAGGCTGGAAAGATGTAAGACCAGAAGGTCGCGCATCAAGACTGGTAAGACCAACGCATGACACTTTTCAGATCGTGTACATCTGTATACGAATATCTATGTGTGCATATCCCGGAGTCCAGCCGAACATTAGGGTGCAAACCCGACTTGTCTGGCTGCTGCTCCGGGGGAGGCCTGTGCTCAAGGGAGGCTGCAGCACCGCTCCACGATGTGCTGTCAACCGTACCTGCAGGGTGGGCCCTAAACCCTAAACCCTAAGCCCTCAACCCAAACCCTAAACCCCAAACCCTAAACCTTTAGAGGGTCACCCCGATCTCCTCCCTCGGCCATCGTTGGCCTCGCTGGAGTTCCGCGCCATGTGTGTGCCTGCACGTATAAGGAAAGCAAATCAACACACAACCAAAAGACAAAACAACGAAACGCGAACCAAAAAATAGTTATACCAAAAGACAAAACAACGAAACACGAACAAAAGACAAAAGACAAAATGAATTATACCAAAAATACACAACGACACGCGAACCATGAGCCATACCGCAAACAAGGGGCTGCGCCGGAGGCGCCGCCCGGGGGGGGGGGCCCAGGCGACGATGCAAGTAAATCCGCGCGGAGCGCCAAAAGTTTGTGTTTCTGGCGTTTTTTCTTCTTCGGATAAACCACGAGACCCAAACCACCAACAGCGGACCACGGACCATGAACTACACCATGAGCTGTTCACCATGGCCTGTTCATGAACCGTACACCACCGAAGAGCACGCCGTGGCAGCAGAGCACTCACCACGAATCATGGGCCACCGAATGGCAAGTTGGACCAAGACCAACCATTGAGTCGGGCAGAAATAGAAACAGAATAAACACGATCCAAAAATGATTCAAAACTAAGCGAAAAATAGGCCCCAGACTGTCTTTCAAACTATTCCTGAACATTACTCCTGTAGAGGGACATGCCCTACTTGAACCCACCACCAGGAGTCACACGTCACGAACCGAGCACGAGTCACCAAACGCGAATGAGCCACGAACCAGCAGCCACAACCCACACTGGCAGGATGGACCACGCAAGCCATCACGAGCTGCGCCACGAAGCATGCGAATCGGATCGGCCGCCAACGACCCGAGACTGGATGCCGGACCGCTTCGGGTCATGAGGATCCCCTCGACGTTCTCTGAGAACGCACACTTCCCAACAGGTACGCTGCCGAAATAACGCAGTGCCGCACGCGCTCGGGCTCGATTCTCCAGATCACCAAGCTTCGCGCATCGCGCCCCGCGATGCGCGACGCGCGAGTATTACGCGAGTATCTTCGCGTCCTCGCGCCCTCGCACCGCCCACTTGGACCAGAGCAATCGCACTGGCCAAGACCGCGATGCGCGAAGCGAGACTTCCCTTCGCGCTCCCGCGGGTGACCTGGACTTTATTCATTTTCCTGGTCATCCTTATCCCCATCCACAAGCCGACTGCTTTGACTGGACAGCCCCGCCTTGGCCACCCCCTGCAGCTGAACAAAGGCCGGCTTCTTCGAGGCTTTCAGGGCCTTGGGGAGAGGCAAAGAGCAGGCATCCCTCTGAAGGCGGACAAACAGGGAGATGACGAGGCGGAACAGCAGCACCAGACGACGAGGCGCAGAAGGAGGAGGACGAGGAGCGAGGAGGAGCAAGCGGAGGATCGGGAGGATGAGGAGGAGCAGAAGGGAGCAGCGATGGGAAGATAAGATGAAGCGTCCGAGAAGTATGCCTTGACCCGGTGGCACAAGTGTCGCGCAGCACTCTTCACCAAGGTCTCGAACGGCGAGTCGTGAGCGAGGGAGGACAACGAGACGGGAGGCAGGGAAGAGAGATACGCAAGGGGCGACGAGGGAGGGAGACAAGGACGAAAAAAGGGGGGCAGAGAGCAGGGAGCACGTGCCATCGAGGGCACCATCGAGACACCAGACCGGCCGAGCGAGTGAGAAAAGACAAGGCGGGGGGGGAGGGGGGGGGGGCGCACCATCCTGGCGCCCGAAACCGCGACGCTGCTTCACTTCACGATCCATGCCCGATAGCCCTGTACCAAAACTGCCGCACCCACCGAGCAGGGACGGATTGTCGAAGAGGTGGCGATGCAAGCAGTCGACGAAGAGGGGATGGCCCACAGGATTCTGAGGACGACGACGACGAGGGCACGAGCACGGAGGGCGGCATGGACGACAGACGACGAGGCGACGGGGGACTGGCCCGCCCGCCCCCGCGTTCGTCGGATGTCTCCCCCAAAAAGGGGTCCGAGTGGACGGGGCCAGAGGACCGCATCGGCATCTCCGAGGCATCGCCGAGGCGTCGGCGATGTCGGTGATGCATCGGGGCCGTCGGCATGGAGAAAATCGGGCTCCGCATCGAGCCGCATCGCCGATGCATCGACGACGCGGTGCGATCCTCCGACCCCGTCCACTCGGACCCTTTTTGGGAGGCCTGGATTTCAATGCCCCGCCCCACCGTCCAGCCCAGCAGGGCCCATCTGCCCGACGGGCCCTCTCGGAGACGTGCTGCACCCAGACCTCCAACGCCTTGAAAAAAAAAGCACGGAAGCTTGTCGTCGATTTTGGCCTCTGGGGGGCCCTTGCCAAGCACCCGGCCCGCCCGAGAACCACTCAGGACACAAAAGTGGTCCTAGAAACGGGTAGGGCCTCAGTCGGTTACAAGACGGCCCCAGTAGCGCCCAAGTAGCACCCAAGGCGACCCATGGGGGCCCAAAGAAACCCAAACAAGGCCCTCAGAGGCCCCCGCGCAGCTCCAAAACGGCCCCGAACGGCCCAAGTCATTCCAATCCCTACGGAAAGCGTGCGTGTTTGGCATGTTTGTTGTGTCCGTCCCTACAGCGTTTCAGCAGGCGGGAGCTCCAGGCACGCCGCATCGAAAAAATCAAGGCTCGGGGATCTTCTGACCCGGGTCAATCCAGACCCGGGTCAGTCAAGCCTTGCAAAATCCTGCAAGATCCTGCAAGATCTTGCATCCAATCCCGGGTCAACGCGAGGAATCCTGCAAAATCCTGCAAGATCCTGCACCCAAACCTGGGCCAATGCGACCCTGGCCCTGCAGGATCCTTCAAGATCCGGCGCTTTGGCTGACCCCCGCTTGCACTGACCCCCGTCTCAAGGCTCCCGAGGCCGCCGGGCCCCAATGGTCCCGGTGCTTCCTGGGCATCCCGTGTTGCGCCCTCGTCGGCGAAGCGCGACCGCACGCCGCGGCCGCCAGGCCCCGAAGGGGCCTGGCGCTCCCCGGGAAGCCCGACTCGTGCTTTCGAGGGCATTTGCCCCCGTCTCTTGAGCCCCGAAAGGCATCGGATCTCCAGGCACCAGGGAGAGCGCTGGCCCTGGTCGGCCAGCCACGCCGCCACGGCGCGAGCTCCCTGGCCGGGCGCACGGCGGCTCCCTGACATGGGCCAGCGAAGGAAGCTCCTCCTCCTCCTCCCTCCTCCTCCTCCTCCTCCTCCTCCTCCTCCTCCTCCTCCTCCTCCTCCTCCTCCTCCTCCTCCTCCTCCTCCTCCTCCTCCTCCTCCTCCTCCTCTCCTCCTCCCCCCTCCTTCCTCCTTCCTCCTCCCTCCTCCTCCTCCCTCCTCTCTCCCATTTCCCCCTCCCTCCTCCTCCTCCTCCTCCTCCTCCTCCGCTCCTCCTCCTCCTCTCCTCCTACTCCTGCTCCTCCTCCTCCTCATCCTCCTCCTCCTGCTCTCCTCCTCCTCCTCCTCCTTGCTTCTCTCCTCCTCCGCCACCATCCCCCCCTCCATCCTCCTCCTCCTCCTCCTCCTCTCCTCTTCCTCTCCTCCTCCTCCTCCTCCTCCTCCTCCTCCTCCTCCTCCTCCTCCTCCTCCTCCTCTCCTTCCTCTTCCTCCTCCTTCCTCCTCCTCCTCCTCCTCCTCCTCCTCACTCCTCTTCCTCCTCCTCCTCCTCCTCTCCTCCTCCTCCTCCTCCTCATCCTCATCCTCCTCCTCTGATCCTCCTCCCCCTCTCC